AAGTCAATCTTCAAATTGAACAAAAACAAGATGGAAGCCACGAACCCGAATGTATTCACGTTCTTGGACTACGAGTGAAAACTTCTCTGCAATAGGAAAACGAACCTTTTTTTTCATGCATCGTGCGCGCATATCTTCTCAGCGAAGGCACGTGATCAACAGTTCACAAAGAGAGAACTAAACAGCACAACAACATCACCACCAGCACAACGAAATCACCAGCGCAATGAAATCACAACGAAATAACCAGCACAACGAAATCACCAGCACAACAACATCACCAGCACAACACGATCACCAGCACAACGAGATCACCACCACCTGCCACACTCCACACTTTACCCACTGCACACTCCACACACTACACTTTGCATCATCCACACTCAAAACTCCAAAACCACTCCCCACACTGCACACTCCACACACTACACTTTGCACTCCACACTCCACACTCTACACTTCACACTACACTTTACACTCTACACTCCACACTCCACACTCGACACTTTCCACTCCAAACTCCACACTCTACACTTTACACTTCACACTCCACACTCCACACTTTACACTTTACACTCGTCACTCCACACTCCACACTTTACACTCCACACTCCGCACTCCACACCCCACTTCACACTCCGCACTCTACACTTTACACGCCACACTCGACACTCTACACTTGACACTCTACACTTTACACTCTACACTCCACACTCGACATTTTACACAATCTACACTCCCCACTCCACACTCCTTTCTTTACACAAAGCTTGCGCAAAGTCGTTCCCAGTACTACTTTGTACTACAAAGCTTGCACAAAGGCGTTCCCAGCGCGGCGTTGTACTACAAAGCTTGCACAAAGCATTTCCCAGTACTACTTTGTACTACAAAGCTTGTACACTCCACACTCCACACTCTACACTTTCCACTTTACACTCCACGCTTTCCACTTTACACTCCTCACTCCACACTTTACACTCCCCATTGCATACTCCCCACACTACACTTTACAC